TTAAATTGATAGCTATTCCCAAAATGACTAGCAAATGCTTGCATCCTGCGCATTCCTTGAAGATCGGCCAAGGTGAAATAGTGGAGAAGGTATATCGATGCAAGCCAGCATGCATCCATATCGTCTTGTACTATAATATGAAATTAGCATTGAGTGAAGAAGTTATGCACCGCTAGAGCACGCTCATTTTTGGACAAGTCAATCCAATAGATGATCGATACACATGCATTGGACAGAGGACAAGACTGCTTTTCTAAGTATTCTTTCTACTCTTGTTCTATGAACATTTGAAGGTTGCTCCAAACAGAAGCAATGCGATTTTGCACCAACGTGTTGGGCACGCTTGATTGCATGGTACTCTTGTACAATGAACCACGCTGTTGACTTCTTTCTACACGCTCAGTCACCATTTTGACATAAACTATTGCACCCTTTACGTGTCTATCTTACTACTAATGCCATTGTAAATGATCTCTAGCTATTTTTTTTAAACTTTTTATCATGTCATCAATGACCATCATGTCGACATGATGATCCAATGAGCCAGTAGAAACATGAGCGAAAATGAAGAAGAAATCATTTTCAATTGGATGGAATTTCCAATCGCTTAACATGTGTGGCGCAAAGGCAAAAAATATTCCGCAAAAATACTGGTAACTTACGCGTTAAAGCCAGACAGAGTAGAGCAATTAAGAGATAGTATTTCCAGGTCATGATGGATAAAATAGCAAGGAGTAATGGATGACCACCTCTGAAGAAATGGTGATGAGAATCAACCGGTCTTGAATGGAATGTACAAGAGGGAGCAAGAGTCCAACAATTAAAAGAGTCAAGCCCAGGAAGGTGAGGCTACTAGGGTACTATGTACTGTAGTGGACTTGACTTTTTGGACGGGACCCAGCGTACAAAAAGTACAGTAGTCCCTACGGACACTCTGGTGTGCATACTGTAGCAAGCCATAGCACGCCATCATCTATTGCAGTCTGTCCCTTGCCTACAGTATACTGTAGAGTATTG